GCATCTAATATCTAAATAAAGGCAAGTTTCCCATAGAAAGTTCTCATAAGATGCAGTCTCTCTTGACAAATCGTCCATGGGTTGCCTTTCCTTATCCCAGCAATTCCATCTTATTGAGATTCACTAGCGTAACCAGGGAAGAATTAGGGTCTTCCCTCAATTTTCTAAAGGAATAAATGAAGAAAAACATCAAATAAGTACAGAGAAAAGATAATCATGCTTACAAAACATCCGTGTTTACTCTTTCTTCACAGAGTTAGTGGCTACACCAACAATAGTATAGGGATAAATGTAGATTTATACGTTCTAATTCGTGCTCCCTAATATCCATTACAGTTACGTTTCTTATTATAATTGGGCTGATTAATATAACTATGCAAAGAATCAAGAGCATAATATATAAATTAACAACGGGCTCTTCCTTCTGTATACTGCTAATATTTAGGAAATTAATATATTTCTATTTTTAACTCTTCTCCCTGATGGCACCAAGAGGGTCCTTTCTTTTAGCAAATTCCATTCGACTAGGCCCACAATGGGGATGGTGAGGGACTGGGCAGGTTTCACTACATTTTTTATTATTTTTTATATTTTTCAATATATTTATTTTGTTTGTACAAAATAAAAAAATAATTTTTAACGATACAATAGTCTTTGTTAGGCTTAATATCAACGAAAATTCAACGCAAAGCAACACGCAACAGAGAAAAATTTCGACATCGGATACGTTAAACTATTTTTTCGTATGTAAATCAGTTATCCGGACAACCCCAGTCCCCAATTGATTCGGAAAATCGACGCTCTACTGTATTAATATAATTAATATGCTTTTTTCATAACATACAAAGAGAAGNAGGAACCGTTATGAATCCCTAAATTTTCTCTGAGCCTAGGGAAAAATCCCCACTTTTCCCTCTCAACAGCCTTATATGTATGTACCAAATCTATCACATCTTTATACAGTATAATATACAGTAAAACCTGTTAAACCAGAATCGCAAGATACCGAGTATTTTTTCCCGGTTTAGCAGGTTTCCTTCTTGAGCAGGTTTTTGTAAAACAGAAAAAATTCGCTGCGTTTCGAAGAATTTTTTCCTTTTAGACAGGTTTTCGTTTTATTCGGGTTCCGTTTTGGACAAGTTTTACTGTAAACAAATAAAAGTGATGTAAATTACTTTATAAAACAGTTTTTAAGTTATTTTTAACCTTATGTAATACTTATTTTATACGTTTTATTAATGTTTTACAGTTAAACCTGCCCAAAACGAAACCCGAGTCAAACGGAAACCTGCCTAAACGGGATAAATCTTCGAAACAGAGCGATTTTCTGTTTAAAATAAAAAAAAATCCCTGTGCAAAGCCCAGAAACCTGCTAAACCGGAAAAAAATATTCGCTGCGGGGTGATTCCGGTTTACACAGGTTTTACTGTAATTATTTTTACCTTAAAAAACACAATAATTTATGTGTTTTTTTTGTCTGTTTGTTGAGTAAGGAGAGTTTCTCCATATCTTGCGAAATGACCTCTTCTCAACATTTAGTTTATATTTCGAAATATCAAAAAAGAAAAATAAATCTTACTTTTAAAATCTAAAAAAAAAAAAATAAATTTATTTCGTAATTTTATAAAATACTCAATAAAATTTAAATTTATTTATTCTAAAACAGGTGTAGAGCTCAAACTAAAAGTCAATTACAGTAAAACCTGTCAAAAACGGAACCTGAATAAAACAGAAAACCTGCCTAAACGGAAAAAATTCTTAAAAACGGAGCGATTTTTCTATGTTTTAAGGCGAAATTCTGCCTTACGATTCCTTCTTAAACAAGTTATACATGTATAAACACATTTCATTCGGCTATGGAAAAATATATGAGCATCACGTTATTTTATACTGAATATCTCAGCATATTCGATGTAAAAATATCATTTATCTATGCTATTTTACATTGATATCAGGGCATATTTGAGCACTACCTTATCCCCATTTTTAACCTTTAACCTCTAGAACTAAGAATGGACATCTTCAAGATAATATAAAGCTGTAAATTGAATAAAATTCTCAAGTATTAACATAGAACCATTAAGATAGATACAGGATGGCTTCAATCCCGTATTGCATCGATCTTAATGGATCCTAGCCAAATGTATCCTAATCACGTGATTGATGTATACCAATCAACGGTGTTATTCATGCAACTAATGTCACTTCTCGGGAGACTTTGAAACGTCGAAGAATGTAAAAAAGTTGGGGTTTTTTCAGTGTGTGGAATGATCACGATTTTTTTCACTCACTTTGAAGCTTAATAACTCCTGTGCCTTTTGTCGAAAATTTCTAAAATTTTTCAGGGAGGCTTGCGTGTTAGGGCTATCCATTTTATTAAATTTTGGCGATTAAAGATCAACGGGATGGGGAGATAAAGGGGGTCATGTTTCATATCTCGAGTGGGATCGAACTTAATGAAGATTTTACTCGCTACAATTTTATATAAAACTCTTATCTACCCTAAAAAATAAGATTTATAATAAAATCATTTTGTAATAAAATCTCGCAACAGATGGCGCCACGTGTAATTTAACGTGTTTTGCCGGAAAAGTTAAGCAACTCGTACTGGATTTTTTTTACCTTTTTACATTCTAATTTATAGAAAGACTAAATGCGAAAATAAAATTATTTCTCAATATTTTCTTATTTATAAACTATTAAGTAAAAGTTATGACAGATACAAACCTGTGTGTACTATTTTAACAAGACAAAGAATAAAATCGAGGAAAGAGATCAAGGAAAAGTTATTAAAGGAAAGTAAAATAAATAGAAATAAAACATATATAAATCGAAAATTAATCTTAAATATAAATTCATACGTAATTAACACTCAAGTAAAAAGACGTTATAAAAAAAGTAAATCATACATAATTAACTGCGAAACACAGCTTTATAGGCCCCGTTTCTTAATTAATATACGCATGATTAAAATTATAATTAATTTATAAAGATTTATTAAGCCATTATAATTAATGGAGCGTGTCGCGAAAGTTTTAGCAATTCTTACCTGAATTTATAAAACTTAATGGTACTTATGGGTCAATGCTGATTAATAAGAGTAATGGTAAGTGTCTGGTTCGATAAAAGTAAAAGTAAAACAAGGAAAAATAACGACAGAATCGGAAAATAGAACATTTTTTACATAATTTTGAAGCCATTTTTAAAGCGGAGTGGAGTAAAGTGACGGGTTAAGGCAATGCAACAGACAGGGATGAGGTGCCTCCCGGGTGGACAGGCCCCCTATTTAGGTAGCTAGAACACGTGTAAAGATCCAGTAAACTACACGTGGTCGTCCTGTTAGTGAGGTGCGAACCCTCGACCAATCCATCCGGACAATGATGGCCAAAGCCACTTTTTTTACTCCTTAAAATTACATTAATTACTTAAAATTTAATTAAATTTAGGAGTAAAAAGTAGTAAAATTTCGATTTCTCTTACAGATTTGAATGCAGTTTAACAGTTTATAAGTAGAATATTATTTTTAACGGGTCAAGGAACTAATTAGAATCACGTTCTCAAAGCTGCTTAAGATTATTGTACATGATTAATATTTTTTTAAATATATATGAAAGGAAAATAAAGCGTAAATTAATTAAAATATCTGTTTAAATGATAGAAAATTAATAATATTTAATTAGTTACGTAGACTTTGATGAAAAAAAGTGAGTGTCATGTGGTCAGAGTGTCATGTGACTAAGAAAAAAAGCATGCGCTTTGTAAGATACTTCAGGCTAACGAAAGGAATGAGGAAAGTTTCTAACTTAAAGAAAGGCAAAAAATGAGTGAGGAAACGTTTAAAATATTTAATTATCTTCATGAATATTTTTAAAAAATTATACTTAAAGACATGAGCAGTTTACAACACGCGAAGCTTAATCACGTGATAGTGATTCCATTATATATTCGACTTTTGATGATAACGTATAATAGATATTATTATATACATATTAACAATACAATTTCTCTTAAATTCTTCTATAAATAAGCTTAAGATGATATATTAAATATACTTTTAAGCGTATAATTCGATGGATCTACCAGCGATCGTATAATATCCAATGCTGTTTGTGGGCGTGATGTTAGACAATAAAACAAATAAATACATAAAAATATAAACAAATTATATTAAAAATTGTATCTATAATCATTTTTTGGAAAGAATTTAAAGTTTTTTTTAAAGTGATTTATTAGTTGAGTAGTAATAACGTAGGCTTATATTATTTATAATATAAGCCTACGTTACCGGTTATAATTGAAATTTATTGAATTATTTAAATAATATTTAGTTTATTTATTAAAGTTTAACAATAATAACAACGCGATATAATTATATAGTTTGTAAATGGGTTACGAAATCTCACCCGATCCTACGCATCTTTACAGAAAAAAATCTTTATTTTTATTTACAAAAATAACATTAAATACTAAAATTAATACAAAATAATACTTTAAAATCGTATTATTTTTTAAATTTCTAGTAAGAAAATTTTTTTTTTTAAATAGAATAAACGTAGAATAAATTTTGTCATCACTTCTTAGAATGTTAACGAGGTCGCTATTCTGTCCTAAACAACAAATAAATATCTAATTTTTAAGGAAAATATTTACTGTAAAATTTTAAAATTATTCTTTATTAGGGCCTATAGAAATCTTGGACAACTTCAATAATTTGTTTTCTTAAATCTATTGATTTAACTGGACCAACCACATTTCTAATCATACAACTCTACTATAGAGAACATACAAACATAGAGGCACATAAGTGACTAAAATTAGCCGAATTAAACACATTATAATTTAAATTATAATCTTATTAACAATATAAACATAAAATTAAATTAATTTTTCTAAAATTTCTTTAATTTACTCAATTAAAATTAATCTGTTTATGCTAATTTATATAGACTATAGAACTAAACATTTAATAGGCTCTTGAATATATAAAGTTGATAACTTACCTGCGCGTGTTATGAACTGTCTGTTCTATTGAAAACCAGCATTTAAAAATTTCTGTTCAGTTGTTGGACTTCAAGGACAGCAGGTTTGCTGTTTGTATCCGAAGTAATCCCAGAATGAATTTTACCTCCATGGTTACCTAAGGCGAAATATCCTCTACATATATCATTAAATAAGATAAATTTATATGTATATACATACAATTTTTAATTAATTTACTCGTTTCTACAAGACTTAAACTAAATCACAATAAATTTTACTCGATTCTCACGAGAAGTGACTGATTTTAAACGAGTTTTCTCTCTCTCTCTCTTACAATTCTTAAAGCATATTTAATATAAATAGATATGGACAACGAACTTTATATAGGATAAGTAAGTGGAAAAAAATAAAGAAAATATTAAATATACCTTAAAATACTTTTATTTTATGAATAAATTTTCATTTATTGTTGTAATAGTGTTCCTACATAATTTTTTTTTTTTATTAATTAAATCTCCTTCAGTGATACTTTATGTCAAGAAGCGTGCAGCATCTTTACGTTTTTACGACTTTAAAGTTGGATAAATGTATTAAAAAATACATTTTTAATGATTTTTATATAAAATTTTCTTACATAAACACAAATTTTAATGTTTTTACATAATTTTTTGTGAGTTAAAAGGTTTGAAAGCAGAAAAAAACACTTCTTTCTTTCCTGTAACTTTGTTTATTTCTATCAGTTTTTAATGCTTGATAACTTATAAATTTTGAAAACGATTTATTGATAATAACAAATAAGGAGTTTTTATAAGAATTTTTAAGATTAATAATTTATTTCTTGATTGTTTTTTTTTTACGAGACTATAGGAAAGTCAAACTGAATAATCAACATTAAACTTCCTTATTGAGTAGGAAAATAATGAAATAAACTTTCCAACGTGTATTGTGATTTCTGTTGTTAATATAATATATCGTAGATATTTTTAAAAGTAAATATTAAATTTGAGATTTAAAACAAAGGGTAATTTATTTGTTTTGCCTATTGTTTAATAACAGAAATTAAAACATTGCTATTTTTCTTATTGCAAAACTAGCTCCAAAGATAAAATTTTGTAGGTTTACTTGATCGCTCATCTTCGCTAGAAAGAGCTTTGTTGGTTTGCTTGAAAGCTCAGTTTCAATATAAAAAGTTTTGTTGGTTTGCTTGACGCTCAGCTTCTCTAGAAAGAGCTTTGCTGGTTTGCTTGAGAGCCCAGTTTCAATATAAAAAGTTTTGTTGGTTTGCTTGACGCTTAGCTTCTCTAGAAAGAGCTTTGTTGGTTTGCTTGCTTGAGAGCTGGTTCGATAAAAAGAGCTTTGCTGGTTTTCTTGAGGGATCAATTTCGATAGAAAAGGGTGTTGTTGGTTTCTGTGAGAGTTTAACATCGAGTTTATCTTTCTTTGTTGAAGTTGTAAACTTCGATATAATTTATTATTATTATTGCGATACAACTTTGAAATTGTATACCTCTACATTCCCACGTTCGTCAGTAGTCCGTTATTCGTTAATCTTCGAAACGGAGTTAGATACTGTATATGAAAATCGAAACTGGATACGAAAGCTTAGAAACCGGAGACCCAGCTGAACTAGAGCCTACAGGAACTTCCGGTCTGGACCGAAAGTCACGTGAGTTTTTTAAATTAAAAGATGGTTGAAAATTGCAGTCTGCCATCGTAACGATGTCACAATATATAACTATTCGTTATTATTATTTCTTTTATTTTTATTACATAAAAAGGGGCTTTGTGTTTTGGAGATCTTTACATTTTACACACAAAAGTTTTGTTGGTGTACTCGAAAACTGTTTTTATACAAAAATAAAACGAAATAAATAAATGACACTCGAGAGAGCTGAAATTCGCATTAAAATGTATGAAAAGAGATTTAAAAATGATGAAATTCGAAAGATTTCGTAATGTAATAAAAAATATTCTATTGTTATTCACAAATTAATTTCATTAATTTATTTAAAAATAGATTTAAAAAATTGCAAATTTTCTTGTTATGTTCATTTTGTAAAAAAAACTAACGAACAATGAAAACTTTTTAATGATTTTTCCGGTTGTTATTTAAATAAAGATTAACATTAGTTTAATCTCCTTTTAAGTCTACCATTATTTAAAATGTCAGGCTATTGAGGCGCATTTATAATGTACAGATTTAGAATATTCATCCCCTAAATCCGCAGCATCCCTTCAGCAGATTCTAAATCTTGCACTTCCCTAGAAAGGAGGTGCAGATTCTAAATCTACAACTCCTTTCTGGGGAAAGTGCAAGATTTCTGCACCCCCTCTGAAGCCGCTATGCAAACAATAAATAGAAAATTATACCTTTCAATGCTAGAATAGAATATTCTATTTATTTTGATGAAAGAATGTTACTAAATGTAAAATTTTTCAAACATTAATCACCATTTTTCTTCATATTTGCTTGTAAGACTGGTTCTGTGGGATATAGAAATGTAAGAAATGGGCACTTTGTTAAAAGGAGAAATCCTACAGGACACTTTATATGAGAAATTGTCACCTATATACGTGTTAAAGACGTGGAAATCCGAAAATTTCGATTACTGGTGGGCTTAAAACTATTGAATTGATTCGTATGAATGGGAGTTAAACGACATTTTTTCGAATTAGCTGAACTTGTATCCATTTAGGAGGTGCATAGGGCATTTATAAGACATATTGTTTCCTTCCTGCACTCCCTCTAAAGATTTCTACGGTCGCTATTCATTATATCTTACCTTATTATATTGATAAATAATTCGAAAAATTATAGTTTTAATTTTTAAAAAAAAATAGTTTTTTTTTTCAAAATCGTAAAGGCAAGTTTGGCAAGTTTCAATTCAGACAATTGTAGGGTCAATAGTACTTACTTCAAATTAAAATAGAAGGTATCCCTTTACAAAAGTGGTCTAGGTATTTATATATAAGTAACATGATCCAACGAACTGGGTATTCAGCTAATTTATATGCATTATTATATAGCCTATATAGGCCTATATATATAAAACTTATATACGAATTGTATAAATAATTTTTTACTACTGTTGGAGCAGTCTATACGTATACAGTTTAAAAGGGAGGGGTGGCGAAAAGTACGTCATTGTTCGCAATAGGAAGAGAGATTTACAGGCATTGTCTATAGACTTTCTTGTATTAGAGGCATAAGAAACTACCGACTATTAAATAAACACATAAACAGTGTTTATTTAATAGTCGGGGGTTTCCATGAACTACTGTACATGTAAAAAGAAGGGGGTTTGCCAATAGTATATCCTATATCGTTATATACAACAGGGAGACACGAAAGGTGATTCAAAGAATTTTTTTACGTTTTCTATCCCGTGGGTACTAAGAGGCCTTTTTATCAAGACCATTTGGCCTGGCACACAGTGGGGTAGCCAGATGGTGATAGACGAATACCCTTAAAATAGGGGTTTTTTCTACTTGTCTTGATTTGTTCCACATCCCAAGTGTGATAGATCTTAATTCCGTAGTTTTCAACCGGGTGCAGAAGAAAGCAATTACCAAGTTGGAGTGCAACTATAGTATTAAAAAATGGTTGAAAAACGATGCCTTAACCGCTTAACCCTCCGTTCAGAGGATTATTAAAGGAGATGGATTCTTCCTTCTTTGACAATCCTCTGAATTTGCAATGAAATTTGATATATTCAATACAAATATTCTCGTATTTTAATATAATTTAAACGTGGTAATTTCTGTAGTGTAAAAGCCGTACAGTACGTGTTGCAAGAGAATCTCCTTGTACATCTCAACGTATATTAGTTTATGCTGTTTTCTTAACATCATTCAGTTTGATTTATATCGTCATAAATTAATGATAAATTAATTTTTCCTGCTTTAATGATTTAATGATTAATTAATGATAATTAAAATGACAAATTAATGATAAATTAATTTGTCCCTACTTCGAGTACGACTGTATAAAGAAAACTACGACATAATTTTATTGTACTGTACTTTTTTTTTACAAATTTTATTTTATTTGTAGATTTATCTCAAGAATAATTTAGCCTATCAACATATATACAGGCTATTTTTATTCTTAATCTTATGAATTTCATAAAAAGGAATAAAATTGTTTACTCTTTCCAAAAATTAAAAATAAATAATCTTTGATGGTATTTTTCCATATTTTCTCAGTTTCATGGAAACATGCCTATAAAGTTTCATGCTCGTACAGACAGACTTATATAATTGGCTTGTGAAGATGTCCTTCCTGATAGAAGCAAAATAAACATTACTTTTTCAATGTCATTTTTAAACGCTGCAGGGTCAAAGTTAATTACAATCGTGTGAGTTGATTTTCACGCAATATTTGAAAATTTTGGCATTCTTCCAGTGAAAAAATCCGGAAAACCCTTTGTTCAGGCACGAATCTAAGACCAGAGTTAGGTGGTCTATCCACTTGACCATTGGAATTTATTTACGTGTCTAAAATGTAGCATACACGAGGAACCAGAATTCGGACGAACAGCTTTTCAGGAATTTTTCATGAGCGATTAACCTCTGTCCTTTCTGTCGGGTTCTGTGCTTAATTACCAGGCTATTTCTGTTGTGAGCCTGGCCGAACCAACAATGAGTCTGGAAAAAAAGGCTCTCTACCCTCGAAATATGGACCAGTTTCTCATAGAAAAACTCCCAGAGGTCTTTCTATTAATTAAAAACTGGCCGCTATTTTCTGGGTGATATTGCAGTAACCAAACTTTAGCATACAAGATCACTTGCATAAAAGTCTTTCTATTTAGGCTCGACACATCCTGGACGGATCGCCAATGAAAAATTCCTGAAGATTTGATCCCTGATCTCCCAGACTGTCCCCTCAATCGTCTCGGTCATCAGGCTGACAAATATAGGATTTAAAATGTTTAAAAAGTTTATTTATCTCTTATATATTGCCACAGATTTTTTGTAAGACGTGGATCAACCTAATTGGATGATACAAGCCAATTTTCAAAAAACATAGATTCTGTTTGATGGCCCGATACGTTCGACGAAGAGTTCGAGTTTGGAGGTTCGAGTGTCTTGGACTTATAAGTAATAATTTAAATTAAATTCTTACAATTAATTTAATAGCTTGACATGCAATTCTAT